AAAACACGTTTTTTTTTTTTTTTTTTTTTTTTTTTTTTGTCTACGGGTGAACGTTGCATTACAAAAAAAAATAAAATAATAAATAAAATAAAAAAGTTGGCGATATTCGATGCAAATATGAAGTGAAGACTGCTTCGCGTCAGGTGCCGTGTTGTGCGGAGAAGAGGCGCTAAGAAACAATTCCCGGTCGCCCGACGCGGGAACTCAAATTCCATCTTTTTCTCGATTTAGACAAACATCATTTTGATTAATCTTTCAGAAATGAAAGACAATAAACTCTTCTTATAAAGCCGTTAGGTTTCGTATTTTTTACTCGGACCCCCTCAGGGTAGAATAGACGGCTGTTTAGGCAGCAAAACTGACTTTTTTTACAATTTTAGAAATTTTTTGTCTGTGAAGCTTTTTTGTATAGCCTCAAACATTTATAATTTGTAATACATCCACAGGGCTTTAAAGAAAACAAGTTTTAACTGCAAGGAGCAAAGCTAGAATGAAATACAAAATTGAGAAACGTGCAAGCTTTTGTGCATCTTGTCGAATTTATATAAAAAAAATATTTTAACAATAAAAATTGCATAATCATCCCAACAGAACAAGCTCGAAGGCGTTCAAATTTCATAATACAAATTGTAAAGCGTTTGTAGTAAAACATTTGTAAAAAAAAAAAAAAAAAGAATTTGGCGAAGATATTTTAGGAAAATGTTAAAGAACTTGGGATCAAAAGCCATGAATTTTCTCTTAAAAGTCAGAAATGGAAGAGCGCAACCTTTGAGACGTTTAAGATGGAATGATCCATTTCGAAAGTCACGTGTCGATTGTTAGCAGGTCTGAAGGTATTGCAGAAGGGCGAAACAACGGACACCGCGAAACATGCAGCCTATGACGTGACGATGAACCGGAATTAAAAGCGTTCCTACCATTGCAGTTGCGACTGAGTCCCTTTTTGTCCGCCATTGTGCTGGATACACCTAAAAATGTCCCCAATTCACATTTTTTTTTTTTTTTTTTTTTACAATTGCAAAAAGAAATTACGCATTGCCGAACGCTCAATAAAGGATTTTAATAGATCGTTCCGATGGCTCCGATAACGATACCCGATATATATATATATATATATATATATATATATATATATATATATATATATATATATATATATATATATATATATATATATATATATATATATATGGCTGAATTTAAATGGGGTGTACCAAAAGTCTGCCTTGCCGCGAATTCAGTCAGGCGTGACTTCGCCTTCGTCTACGGGCTTTAGAAAACAAAACGTCTTGCCTACCGTCTCCTCACTCTCTCTTTCTCTCTCTTCCTGTCTGTGAGTCACGGCAGAATCAATAACAGCCGGCGACACCCGCCGCTTTACTTTTTTTTACGAGGGACCCGTGAGGAGCAGACATATTGATCATTTCCAAGAACACGAGAGCGTAGGCGAGCGCGTGGAGATATCGTTCCAGCTCATTACCTGACCTCTATTCGTTTATAAAAGGTATCACGAAACTAATTTCCGGCTGGGATAAATTGGGATTTTACTAATCGCATATCGTATTACTAATCGCATAAACTAATGCACGAACGTATAAAGCCTAAAGCCTGCTTTAAGGTACGAAATTTTGAGAATATAGAGGACTATTTGGTACCTCCTTTCCTTCGAAAGCCCTCCGCCTTTTCATTGTGGCGCATCCGCGGTGCCTGAGCACGTCAGCCGAACCCAACTCACGCATTACACGTATGCACTCGTCAACAATCAATCCGTCGACGAATATTTGGATTCGCGTTCCAAGTGATGATAAGTGCGACGGCACTTATCATCACTTGAGAATGACAAGTTTCATGGTGTGCTTAAAAAGCACGGTGGTAGCTTGGAGTCATCGTCTCCGGTTCCAATACACATCACGAGTCACGACTACGTGATTTCTCATTTCGCTTTTGAGGTGAGGATTAAAGCTACGGAGGAAGAATTTGAAAAATCATTTCATGGTTCCTTGAATTGGAGATCAATTGCTAACTTGAGTTCACAGCGCGTATTTCCCGAAATTTGAACCACGAAAAGGATTCCTGGTAGTTTCCGCCAGGAAAACACCTATGGTACAACGACGAGATCTCAGGTATCCTTGGGAAGTCAAGACAAAACTATCTCGAGGCGACGAGTTCGTCCGGAACGGAAGTCAAACAGGGAGCATGTAGCGGTGGGCGTTGCGCTCGCTGGTGCGTGGCCCTTTTTTCTTGCCGCCTCGGGCTGGTGGTGCGGCGACTGACGAGCCTCGAATTGAACACGGTGCAAAAACAACCAGATACAGCTAGAACACACACGCTCTACGCGCTGTGCTCGAAGGTCGCCGACTCGGCGTTAGCATACAAAGCCGCTAACCATTAGCTACGCTTGTTTGTTGCGGTGTGAACAAAGATAATTTACGCGTGGGTTCTTCACTTCGTGGACAGTCGTAGGAGCCCGGCGGCGGCGGCCCTAACGAGCTCGTCTTCTATCGATCCTCGTGGTCAGGACGAGACCTTTTGTGTTTTGTCGCAACAGCTGTCGCTCTATCGCACTCTGCGTGCGCTGTACTCTGGCCAAATGAGTTGCTATTCAGAAGCGCAAGGACATTCGCTATCTGTCGGAGTCATTGTAGCCGTATCAGAAATAGCTCTATATCTCCCCCAAGTGGGATGAAAGCAAAGAAACACTAAACCTAACGCAGAAAAGAAGAAAAAAAAAAAAAAGGAAAAGGGAGAACACGAATTGCCTCCTGCATTCCGTTTGTTTCAGAAATGCCAGTAATATGGAACACGTATAATGTATATAGTTTTTTTCTTTTTTTTTTTTTTTTTTTTTTAACGAGGAAAAGAAATTTTGATGACAACGACGAGTCAAACAGCCAGGAAAACTCAAGTTTTGAGGCCGGGGCTATCAATACAATTTTACAGTTTCGCTATATATATACAGTATATGCAAGTGTGGCAGGACGACTGTTAGTATCATATTCAGCTCTTATATTCGTTTAACTATTGCGCACTTTAAAACGTACACCTAAAAGTTCTTTAAAAAAAATTAAAAAATCCAGGAAAGCATCTTTTTTCCTTACAATCTAGCTTTGATGTCAATATTTCCCAAAACGGAACCTTCTACTGTTTCTGCAACTTTTAAATCTGAGCCCGGAAAACGATTGCTGGTGGCTCCTGAGTCCTGACCATGGCCCGGACAGCTGACGGTTCCTCCACCCAAATGAAGAGTTACTTTTCAGCTCCGCTCTAAAACAACGCAAAAGCCAGAGAGGCTCGCCAAAGACACACTCCCTTACTTCCCAATGTAACGTGCCAAACAAAACTGCACGAAAGGCTCAGAAACACTCTTCCGGTCACATAATGGGATCTCTGTGACACTCGTCGGTCGGCGTCGCAGCATCTCTTGGCGGAGCAGAGAAAGGCATTCTCCAAGTCTAGACGAGACCGCCGAGACTTCCCCGGCCAGACGAACTGGCTCCAGTCAGACGGGAGAAGGCGGCTGCCCTTCGCCGCCTTCTCTCCCACTGCTATAAAAGGAAATGCTTGGACGATGCTCTTACGGTCGGTACGGCGTCCTCTGGAAAGCCGAGCAAACCGTGACGTGCACTCGGTCGAGCTATCTCTCCACACGGAACACGATACAGCGCATTTTTTTTCTCCTTCTTAGATGGAACAAATATCAGTAGTCACTGCTGTATTTGCAGTTTGACCATGCGTCAGTTGGTTCAGGACATGTGGTGCCATTATAATGTTTGTGGGGCTTTATTTCAATACCCTCAGGACCCGTAAAACAATACAAATCCGCGCAAAAACAACAACAAGAACAACAGTATATCTGTATTGTTTTTTTAAGAAACAACAAGAACAAAAAATACAATTTTATCATCTCGGAATAATGTTTAAACTCGGATATCTCTAGGTACAACCATGGTTAGGAGACACTAAAAAACAGCGTCTGCGTATTTGCTACATCGCTCGGAAATACCACCCGGTCTTTCGACAAAACACATATATGTTGTATAATTACAACAAAGCATAAAAAAAAAAAAAAAAGAAAAGCCCGAAATAATTACTCGAGAGCCAGGTAAAAGAAAGTGGAATTGAAAAGTGTTATTAGCTTCATTGTTTTCAAAAGAGAATTAAAAAAAAAGAGACATGAACGTATTAGATTTTAAAATAATTCGCACCACACTTAAAAAAAAAAAAAAAAAAAAAAAAGAGAAAACCGTGCATTTACTTTCCCGCACAACACTCGGAGAGTCAATCACCGCAACTTACGGAGGCAGCTCAGCGAATGACGACGCCGAAACATATGTTTAGACCAAAAAACGCAGTGGGGGAATATTTAGTTGCTCTAACATTTATTCATTAATATGTATTTATATAGAACATGCATTTATTGAGATTTGAAACATAAAAAAATATATCTAAACATTTCTGAAATGTATCGTGATTCAGTGGTTGACCTCATATTTAGTTTTATTGTTGTCAACCGAACCATGGCAACAATTCCATAGGTGATCAATACATTTTCGCCTGACAAACATGTGTGTGTGTGTGGGGGGGGGGGGGGGGGGGGGGGGGGGGGGCTGGGGGGTGAATGGGTGCGTCCGTGCGTGCGTGTGTGCGTGCGTGTTGGCTATGCAGTCGGAAGAGGAAGCAGATGTAATTGTAATCGTGAGTGTGGGCTCATAGGCCCTGATAGGACCGTCTGTCACTGCCTCAGACACAAAAAACATGTCGAACACCATCATGGTGCGCTTTTTGACGCTGCCTCATTCGTCCCATCAGCTCGCAGCGTCGGCTGCCTCTGAACCTACCTGTTATAAAAACTAAAAATATACGAAAAAAAAAAGAAAAAAAAAAAAAGAAATTGCGAATCTATCACACTATTACACCTGCTCTTCGTCATCCCGCACCGCCATCACCTCCCCACCCGCGGATAGCATCATGGCATCGCCCACATCCGTTCCGTGCGGAGGCAAAGAAATAGTTCCTATCGTAAGCATTATTTGCGTCTCATCCAAGCTTAAATAGATATTATTTGTATTATATAACATTTAACAAACAATAATTAAGTGCACTAAATTTTATTCAAGGTATCAAAAAAATTAATAACGATGCCACACCTTCGCGCATGAACACTCAACAAAACTGAACGTTTCGAGAATTCGAGGATTTAAACGCAATCCCGAGTCCTGCAACCGCCATTTGACACTGTTCGGGTTACGGTGTGTCACGTTCGAGCTACATTTCAAAATGCGTGAAATCGTTCACATTCAGGCTGGCCAGTGTGGGAATCAAATCGGTGCTAAGGTGAGTAAGCCTAGGTGTCTTCGAACTCTTCGATTTCGTCTTAATTTCTACTGTTACGGATGCTCTACCTTGTGCGATGAAGTCTGCGTTCGTTCGGCTTTCCTTCGTTTGTTTTCCCATTTAATAATGTGTAAGAGCTTTCAGAGTGTTAACAATGTTTTGTGTTGCCGTAACCGTTAATTTTAATGCTTTTTTTTTTTTTTTGGTAGTAAGTTGGCAGTTTTTGACTTCCGACAGTCTACCGGCTCTTGATGAATCGTTATGCGCGCTATTTGTATGTTAGCAATATGCAGTAATAGTCAGTCACTCGCCGATTTACGCTGTTGGACTTCAAATAGTCGGATTGCACTTTTTTAGAACGGCTGTTCATATTTAATTTGTATACTTTGCAAACGTCGCCGGTTGTGCCCGGCAGTTAGGCCTAGCCAACGTTCTTGGTCTCTGTCGACAAAGCTCCACGAAAAAGAGGCGTTCGAAAACGGTTGTTCTATTGCCTGCACGCGAGCCGGTACGGACTCACCAGCGTCAAAGCCTCCACAGGTAACGGAGAAGGACCGTTTTTGATCGGCGCGCTCGATTAGCGTTAACTTTTTAGCAAACTTTATATTTATACCATAAAAACCATAATAGAATCGCTTGCCACCGCAGATAACGTGCATTCAACGTTCCACCGGCTCCGCCACGATAACGCGCCAAGCGTTCTAGGAAGCTTGTCAACGGCTTTTGATATAGTAGCGTTGGGCTTAGCATCCTCTTTCGAACGTTCCCCTAGTTAATAATTTAAATGTGCTTGTGTCTTGTTGCGGTTACGTTATTCAGAAACAACCATGGTTACGGCTGTTCATTTTCCTCCTGAATGCTTGAGGCGGGTTGGGTCGCTGAGCGCTGTGAAGTCGGTTCCCCATATGTTTGTTACCGTTGGCAACTGTCATTGCAACGTCTCTTTGAAAGTGGTTGGCCTGGAATGCCAGTTAGAAATTCTTTTGTTGTACAGCCTCCAGATCTCTTAACACTCGTGTTAACCGGCCGGTAGATCAGCGCCTTATCGCGGCGCGAAACGGCGAAGTCGGCGAGGCGAAGCTTGTGCCTTCTGTCATCCGCGCGTAGTTTCGCTGACCTGTTGTCTCGCGCCGCAATAAGGCGCTGATCCACCGGCCGGTCGGCGTTAGCGCGATATTGTTAAAAAAAATCTGAAGGCTGCACCTTGCTCGTCTATCAAGCCCAAATGATCTTTGTAAAGCCTTCATTAACCTTGGCTTCATTTCAGTTTTGGGAGGTAATCTCCGACGAGCATGGCATTGACCCTACCGGCACCTATCATGGCGATTCGGACCTTCAATTGGAGAGAATCAACGTGTATTACAACGAGGCATCTGGTATGCCACTTTGGATTATAAGCATCAGTGACTGCCTGCCCCATTGTAATTTAATATTTTTCCCCATTGTGATTCTAGAACATTTTGTGGTAGTATGTGTTGGGTGTTCTTGGCTGCACCTTGCGTTGGCACCCGGGTAAACCTACCAAAACATCTACTCGTTGCGTGTTGCCGTAGATCCCATTGAGTGCTGGAGCGCACCACCTCCATTGATGGTGTTCTCCAAAATGCCTCAAGCTTTGTTGTCATTCCAAACTCTCCCAAGTTGGGAATGTGTACATCTCTTGAATTGATGCCTCATCAGCTGCCATTCCTCCATACCATGCTCCTGTGCTTGTACCTTCTGCAGCATACATTTAGCACCATCGAATTTGTCCTTCTTGGCAAGCCTTGCGGAGAAGGCCACGTCGATGGTATTAAATGTATACAGCAGAAGGTACGGGTACAGGATCATGGTATGGACCAGTAGCGGCTGGTACGGTGCCATGACGTCGCATGCAAGGTGTTTACCATGAGCAGAAATTTGGGGACCAAGGTGTTCCACTGGTAGCGATGCTGTTGTCTGGAGTGATGTGGGATGTAGTAGGTTATGTGGGACATGGTAGCACTGCCAGCAGTGCATAGCATTACTCGTGGTCTCATTAACACGCCTATTAATCACCCGGTAAAAGCTGGTTGTCACTAAAATACCTCCGACAGTGTTGTTTACTACATACAAAATAGATCACTGCCAGTGCCTTTTGCTGTCTGGGTTTCATGTGGGCACCTGTATGTTGCTGTAGGAGGCACGGGTGGCAAGTTTTCCAACATTGGACTATTTCATTAAATGCGCTCTCCGGGCAAGATTGGCTCTACCTGTCATGACTTGACGCAACAGGCACTTAGCTGTTTGGGTTCTTGACTTTGCTCTGTCCTGAAGCTTGCAGATTTGGGAAATCGTGCTCCAATTTGGTTTTTGGTTCTCGTTTAAGGAGGAAAATATGTCCCACGAGCTATCCTCGTTGATCTCGAACCTGGCACCATGGACTCTGTCCGTTCTGGGCCCTTTGGACAGCTCTTCAGGCCAGACAACTTTGTGTTTGGTGAGTGTCTGGCAGACTTTGCCGTCGGTTCCAGGGTCCTTTGCTGTGTGCGTGGCTTGCCCTAATGGGTTGCCTCTGTGTTGTGCTGCAGGTCAGAGTGGTGCTGGCAACAATTGGGCCAAGGGTCACTACACAGAGGGGGCCGAGCTGGTGGACTCCGTCCTGGACGTTGTCCGCAAGGAAGCGGAGAGCTGCGACTGTCTTCAGGGCTTTCAGTTGACTCACTCCTTGGGTGGAGGCACAGGCTCGGGCATGGGCACACTTCTCATCTCCAAGATTCGGGAGGAATACCCAGACAGGATCATGAACACCTTTAGTGTGGTCCCTTCTCCTAAGGTCTGCAGATAGTTTCTAAGGCCCGCTATGGCTCAATTTTTCTTGAGCAGTGCCTTACTTTTCATTTCTGCCTTCCCCAGGTATCGGACACTGTGGTGGAACCCTACAATGCCACCCTGTCTGTGCACCAGTTAGTTGAGAACACAGATGAGACCTACTGCATTGACAACGAGGCCCTCTATGACATCTGCTTCCGCACACTGAAGCTCACCACCCCGACTTATGGAGATCTCAACCACTTAGTATCTGCCACCATGTCTGGCGTCACCACATGCCTCAGGTTAGGATGCTACATTTTCTAATGAATGGCAGTTTATCAATTGGCACCACCCAGTAACGAATGTGAGATGGAATAGGTGGTTTCGGTCTTTTGGGTATCATTGCCTCTGGCTTAAGGGACCCTGACATCCTCCAAAAAATTGTTTTGCCAGGTGATCTATTATTGTGCCAAAGGAGATGCCTAATCAATATTTTTCTGCACTGTTGCATATATTTTTAATAAAATAAAAAAAATCTTGCCTGACCGAAACTGAACTGGCGAGGAAGAAGAAATGGAGGAGAAAATTACCGGAAGTCGCGTGGCTGTGCTACGTTTTTCAATAGACGTATTTGCAGCTTTTTCAAAGCCACAAAAAGTAGGTTTTTTTTCTATTTTTAGTAGTGAGTGCGCTCATTCGATGACCCACTGCTTCAATTACCGTAAGTTGTTGCGTCTAAACCATAGTAAATCGGCACGTGACCACGGAGAAGGGTGAGCGCGACTCAAACCGGTCGGTTCTCGATCGGCGGTTTTCGGGTGGCAAGGAAACGTCGCAAATTGTGTTCCGGGCAGTTGGGCTCATGACCTGTACAAATGCCTTGGCGAGCATAAGTACCCTGTCAGTGTCCCTTTAAAGGAGCTGTGCAACAGTCTCAGTGCTTTGCGTAAATAATTTGGGAGTTGGTGCCTCTACCTTTTCGAAGTAAAGAACAAAAAAAAACTTTTGGCCTGCATGTCCTAGTTTTTATTTTAAAAATGGACAATGATTGAGGTATTCGCCACCTCTTAACACCTTCACCGGCTTCAGAGTCACGTGCGCTTTGACATAATGGGGGTTGCGCAGGGTTCCGGTTAAGCTCTCTAGAGCCATCGGTGAGCAGCGAGAACTCGTCCACTCGCAACCGCGTAATGACGTGCTGGTGCAGCACGAACAATATGGTGAAAGGAGGAAAGTCTCACCCGGGTCCGGCTAGAGCACTATATAGCTCCTACGGAGCAGAGTAGCGCAATCCTTTGAACCCAGTGTTTTGCCGACAACATGACCGACAGAGCGGCTCGGCGCGAGTCACGTGGTACTCGGGGTTCCAGGAGGCGGCCCGCCCTATGGGAGAATACATGGAGATCGACATAACACGGCTGATTAAAAAACTAACGGCGAGTTCACATTTTTCAAAACTAGCCTGTCGTGAAGTTAGTAAAGCGCTAAACACTTTATCAAAGTTTTAATAATATCGGATGCGTGTGCAAATTTTGAGAAGGCAATTTCCAAGGCAATGGCGTTTGAAGCAGACTATTTTTGCTCGCAGCAGAGATGGGCTTTTCGGTTTGGCCGGAGCGGGTCACGTGAATGGTGTGACGTCGCCGTGTCGTCTGCTGCATGATGCCGCTCAGGCAATTTTTAAAAAAAAAGTTGCGTCCTTGTATGGCACAAAACTTGTCGCATATTATTCTAAAATGTTTCATTATTATGTCAAAAATGATTTCCATTCCGCACATCCCCACAAAACTGAAGAAACAACGATTTTCTCACATTCTCCATGCATTTCTGACCGCAGTTGGAACCTCCGGGCGTTCGCCGCTAGTCGCCGAGAGACTGTGTTCTAGATTGCGCTACTCTGCATCAGGCTCTGCCCCCTTTCCCCTCCGGCTTCTGGCGGCTGTTCACGATAGCAGATAGAGCAGACGGTTTTGTGGACCAAGGAAAAATGGCGCCACTAAAACTTCGTATAATTGAAGTTTTTTTGGTTTGGAGGCATTAACTATTATGTGGTGTTTTGGTATTTCTAGGTTCCCTGGCCAGCTAAACGCCGACCTTCGCAAGCTTGCCGTGAACATGGTCCCCTTCCCACGTCTTCACTTCTTCATGCCTGGGTTTGCTCCTCTGACATCTCGTGGCAGCCAGCAGTACAGGGCTCTGACGGTGCCAGAACTGACCCAACAGATGTTTGACGCCAAGAACATGATGGCCGCTTGTGATCCTCGCCACGGCCGCTACCTGACTGTGGCTGCAGTCTTCAGGGGCCGCATGAGCATGCGGGAAGTGGACGAGCAGATGCTCAACGTGCAAAACAAGAACTCCAGCTACTTCGTAGAATGGATCCCAAACAACGTTAAAACTGCAGTCTGCGACATTCCTCCTCGGGGTCTTAAGATGTCTGCCACTTTCATTGGAAACAGCACTGCCATCCAAGAGCTCTTCAAGCGGATCTCCGAACAGTTCACTGGTGCGTATATCTGGTCTTGGGTTTGTTGGTTTTTTTTTTTTCTTAGGTTGGGCATTTTACAATGTTTCTTATTTTCCTTACAGCCATGTTCCGCCGCAAGGCTTTCTTGCACTGGTACACCGGAGAGGGCATGGACGAGATGGAGTTCACCGAGGCAGAGTCCAACATGAACGACTTGGTGTCCGAGTACCAGCAGTACCAGGAGGCCACAGCTGACGAGGAAGGAGAGTTTGAGGATGAGGAGGAGGCACAAGCAGAAGCTTAAGTGAAGTTCTTTGTGTGACATGCACCATGTATCCTAGCATTCTGAGCTCCTTCATTTTGTGTTGTGTTCTCTACTCTTCTCTTTTGTATTATTCTTTCATTGTGAATAAAGCCGACACTTGAGCCAAGTCTGTTAGGTGGGTTCTCACTATGTTTAAATGATATTGTTTTACCGTAAAATACCGGGCAAGCTCCCACTTAAAATTTCAAGATAATCAGCGCACTTGTCCGGTCATCAATTCTACATATATATATATATATATATATATATATATATATATATATATATATATATATATATATATATATATATATATATATATATATATGTGCTGTGCATATTTTCTCAGATCTTGCAAAATTTGGGTATGGGCACTTAATGTGGAATGGGCGGATGCGCGCTATTCTATGGTAAGTTGCGTTGCTTTCACAATTGCTACATGCGCGAAGATTGCAAGAACTAATGCGAGATTGTGGTGAGTACTGGTCAGATGCTTGTATAAACCCCTTAAGTGCCTTGAACGAGCTCTGCTCGCTCAAATAGTTTTGCGGCACTGATCGTAGATGGTAGCACTCATATTAGTTGGCAAAGTTTTTTTTCGCCTCCGCTGATTTTTGTTTAATAAACTTTTCAAATTTTATGTGCGATACTAGAGAAGTAACAATTCAAAATAATAAAAAAAAAAAAATCACTTAGGTTACTTTTGGAAAAAAACAAAATTTGGCACTCGGTGATAAACATGCCTTGCGAAGACACTGCCCCTAACTAATGTTCCTAATAGTGGCATTGGAACTGTGCAACACGTAAAATTTAATTCGTTGGCAGCTTGATTGGTAGTGCACCATACACCCTACTTATGCCACTTTATGGAATACTTTGCAGCTATGGGTAGAGAATTTAGCGCCCCTGTCTGGGCAGTCTAACATACAGGGTGCTGCAGTGAGAGCTGGCCCTATGGCACTTGAGCTTGGGTGGAACAAGAGTCCTGTGGGAATCCCTGGGCATGTAAGGCTGCCGCATTTCCTCTTGTGCCAGCTGGTTTCAAAGCCTAGTATGTTGGAGGCACCCTGTGCAATATTTGCCACTTTCAGCTAGCACTAAACTGCAATGCTTGGTTGGCAAACTCTCACCGAGGGTGATCCCTTCTCATACCCCTCAGCCGGGCTAACGCTGGTCAGAGTGCCAACCTTGCTCGCTGTGGCGCGTCTTGTAAGAGCAGTTCAAAACACAGCTGCAGCGGTCGAAACGGATGTTTCAAATCCCGTTTCCGAATATAGGGGTTATCAGTGGAAACTAATGCGTGTCCGGGGATCACGCTCTCCTGGGAGTTTGCCAACGGAGTTGATCGAGTACCATTGCTAAACTGGGCCAGCTCATTGCCACCAACTGGACAGTGCCACTACAGATGTATCTGCGGCTGCATGGTAGGTGAGGGATTGGAAACTTCCTGTGCAAGTGAAGGGTTTGCAGTTGAGGTATAGAAATGTGGAGTGGAAAAATTAGTTCTGTAGACCTTAGTCGAAATGGTTTGCATGCATTTGGCTGTCTAGATGCTCTTCCAGATTATCTTGTGTAGTGTGCTCATTTGGACTTGTTTCGAATTTGGCTAAATGCCATGATTTTTTTTGTTTTGTGGCATAGGTGCAAAGTCAGTGAAATTGTCTTTGGTCTATCCTCCAAGAATGCCTCTGCCTGAATCTCCTTTAGGCCACAAGATGCCAGAACAAGCACCGTTGGTGTTGATGAAATGTGCTATGTTTCATCAACCATCAAGAGAAATGTTTCATCAGTACCAACAAACTTCAAAACCACTATTCTTGGAGGGGGAGTTGGAGGTAATAAGCCCGTGCCAGTAGTCTGGTAAAGTGCAAGTGTACTACAGCAATGCACCATTTCTTCGGAGCCAGTGACAAATGCGCCCGGTGCGCGTACATTATTGGCTCTCACTCACCCTCACCTCACCCCCCCCCCCCCCCCCCCAAATGTCCTTCTACAATGCCTACACAGATTCCTTTGTGATCAGATATTCGTGGGGGAGGGGAGGGTAAGGGGGGGTCTCAAATCCTAGCTTCTGAAGCTTGAGTAGACCAGCTGGACAGTGGCCTGCTAGACCCAGCATTGCTGCTGCGACGCTGCCAGGATCGCAGCTGACGATGTCTGGCAGAAATCGAGGGACAACTTTTTAGGATGCAGTTAACCCACCGTTCGGAGACATGTTCTAGGCACCACAATCGTGGTATCGTCGCAGACGGGGTGAGAGCAGCAATCCATCTCTTTCGGATGCCTGTCTTCCAGCACGCGCTCGTTGCTTCCCGACATACCTTGGCTGCACACACTTGTCCAGGCTAGCAATATGCCCAAGCGTTGCAGGAGGTGTGAAGCGCATGCTGGAGGCGGGACAACCGAAACTCCTCCCTGCCGTTCTCACCCTGCTGGTGACTACAGCTGTAGTAATCGCCAAGCTTGTTTTGGTCAACTGCCAAGATCTTTCCTTCCCCTTCCTGATGACGTGTTTAAGGTAATTGATATATTTCTCAGCCGTAGAAGATTCTTTTCTTTATTCTCATCTATTGTATCTTGGAAGGATCGAGCTACCATGCGAGATTCACGGATCCAATTCTGCTTTTGTGTCGCATCTGGTTGGTTCTAGTGTGTTCAGTGGGCTCCGAGGCCAAGTGTCAGCTTACGGATCGCCAGTCGGTGGACAGTACGGAGCCGGTCCACTCTTCAAGAGAACACCGGAAGGTGTTCTCTTGAAGAGTGGACCACTTCGTACCGGCACTCCGTGCTGCACCGGCTGCTGCGCCTGCAGGAGCTCACTGCAGAAGGCGGTTCGTGTCGCGCTTCACCTGCCGTTGCAGGCGCACTGAGTGAAAGGGCGGTGCAGCGGTAGACGAAGTGCGGCATGGACCACCTCTGGTGCTCGTTGCATCGGTGCTAAGCTTCCACAGGTGCCAGCACGCATTCCGGTGTTCCCTTTAAGGGTGGACCGCTCTGTGCCCGAAATTTGAGAGGCTTGTTGATGGTGTAACTAAGATTTTCGAGTGCACATCGGAAGATCCCCTGCTGGTTTAAATTAACCCTCAGTCCTCCGCTAGGGCACGCCAGTTGCCCTTTTCCCCCATTCACACGACTGTAAAGGTACCTTTAGCTAAGGGACCTTTATTCTCTGCGGCCAATCAATTAACAATCTTTCGCGCGTGGCGTGTACTCGCGACCCAAGAGCACGGGCTGATTCGCCGATAGCAAAGGGTCCTATGTTAAAGGTATCTTTATGTTGACTGTGTGAATGGGGTATTCGTCGATTTGTCAGTTTTTTTTTCTTAGATAGATTGTAGAAATATATATAATTGGTGAGACGAAAGTAAGCATACAGGCTAACAGGGTTCAAGAACTATTTTCATGTGAAACATTCTTTGGCTAGGTGTTAGGCATTTCGTGAAGCTCAGAAAAAAGCGTGGCCACAGGCGCGACGCCGATTGCTTTTGAGTAGGGGGGAAGAGGCCATCGCAGTCAAAAAAGTGTTTGTGCCAGACGGGAATCTAACCCAGACCATTTAGATTATTAAGCGAGCGTCTTTCTAGTATGTCGCTACACATCGCCGCGAGTTGAGGTGCTTTTTGGCGGGAAAGCCCTGCGGGTCAGTAAAGTGGCCAAGTGGGCTAGTTGATACATGTTTAACTGGAAAAGCACCTAAAAAATGTGTGGACACAGAGGCGGACTTAGCATTCTGCCGCTCCATGCAGCCTTTAATAGCGCTGCCCCCCAGCGGGGGTCGGGGTCGGGGTGGGGAAGTAGCTGAGTTTGGAGTTAAAATTTTTAAAAGTAGCTAGATTTGGAGCTAGAATTCTCAAAGAAGCTAAATTCAAAACTACTAGAGAAAAAAAAAAAATAATAATTTGGGGATGGTTACAAATTGGTTGCCCCCAAAATTCTGCTGCCCTAGGCAGATGCCTTTTCTGCCTATTGGTAAGTCTGCCTCTGCGTGGACATGAGAAAGTAGGGACAGGACCAAGCGCAGGGCATCCGCTCTGCGCCCGGCAGATATCAGCCTGAGATCCTGTCGCACGTTTTAATGTGAAACATTCTTTGGCTAGATGTTTACCATTTCGTGAAGCCTGGATAAAAACGTGGCTGCAAGGCTCGACATTGATAGGTTGACGAGTGGGAGAAGAGGTATGAGGTGCTCGGCAGACTGGTTAACGGGGGGTCATGTGACCAAAGGGGTAGGTAGAGCCCAAATAGCAGTAGTGAACAACTATCAAGTGTACACATGGTACGCGTTAAGCCATCTGATGAAAAGTACCGTGAACGTAGGCGTCTCGAAACTCTTAAGTATCGCTAAATGTTTGTTTGTTTCACGTATGCAACACCATTGCCTAGCAATTAGTCATAAACTTTTATTCCAGATGTCAGTTTAACTCTCATTTATGCCCTAGCTTTTGGTTCAAGGATGGGCCAGTTGATTTACTATCTTGTGCAAGACTTAGTAGGCTTGTATAGTACAAGGTGTCAAACATTCCTACAATCTGTTGACGACCAGCTTGAGTGAGACGTCACAATGAAAGATGGATGCCAGGTCCTGCCGGGACTCTGCCGCAATTTTCTGTATCGTCTTGCCCTTGTCACCAATGGCATACTTAATGTACCGGTCTTGGTGCCCCTGAATGGTGATGACGGCGTGCAGCACTCCAGAACTGTCCACATCCCACATAGTTACAGATATGTTCAGGTTATACGGCACTTCTTTGGCAAGGTAATTCAGGATCTTCTCACGCACAATCATGGTTGCAATTTCGTGGGGGTTTTGGTCGGTGACCAGCTCCTTGGGGTACATCCACTCACTCGGTCGAGCCGCCTGCAGCAGGTAACTCCGCAAGTCATCCACCCCGTCGTTGTTCAGGGCCGATATCATAAAGACCTCGGAGAAGTTTGGCCAGCCGTTGTGTGGCTCAGTCGAGCTCTCCTGACTACTACCCTGTGCTTCGTCCTCGATCTCTCGGCCCCTCAGTTTCGCTTCCGTTTTGGAAAAGAGGTCGTCCGCGTTGATCTTGGGGTTCCTTGGTTTCTGACGTCTCGTCGGTACTCCTCCCACTACTCCTTCGGTTAATGAGTGAATGCATTCTAAGAGCTGCCTTTTCGACCGCAGGAGGTCCACTTTGTTAACAATCAGAAATGACTGCTTGTTCTCGTTAAATCTGAGTAGTCGTAAGAGGTTCTCCTCAATGCGCTGGCGCCTCCAGTGATCGGATGCGTCCACCATCACCCCGATTGCGTCGGCGTTGAGGAGGGCATGCTCCGGATCGACCACCATCGTGGCTCCCAGATGGTGCTTTCTGCTGTGTTTGAGGTCTACGATGCCTGGCGTGTCCAGAAACACGATTTGCGTGTCCCCGTCGATGAAGACAGCCTTCGCGTTGTGCCTTGTGGTGTGGACTTTCTTGGAGACCGAGCACACTTTCCATCTCATCAGCTCGTTTATGAGAGTGGATTTGCCGACGTTTGGTTCTCCGACTATCGCCACCCGAAGAAGCCTCGGGCTCTCAGGTTGGACAGGGAGCAGCGATTTCATGTACTGATATTCCGCCAATGTTTTGGGAACTATTCTCTCGGGCCTCCACGAGGAATCCACCGCCGAGACGCTTGACTTCCCGCGACACGGTAAGAGTTCCCATCTCCCGGGTTTCTGGGCATACGAACTCCGAACTCTTTGAGTAAATTTGAAATTTACATTCCTTAAAATGTAAAAAACGGGCCCTGCTGGCTTCATAATATAAAAGAACTAACCTGTTTTACGTGCAGAACTAATTGGCTGCTCGAGAACGTGCCAAAACCATGTACGCCGCCATTAGAAAAGCCCGTTGCGCCACCTGGAACGTAAAATCCGTAAAATGCTATCAGAGCACAAGTTAGAATGTAAAAACTTCCACTTCTATTTTTGCTAGCATTAATTGAAATAAACGAAGTTTTAGGTAAGCAAAACTTCTACAACTAGGTCACCAATTTGTTTGGCATTGAAGTTTATGGGCAGGGAGGAGACCTTGAAAGAGTCAGAGTCAATCCAATCCGATACGTTTTTTGCTCTCGCACGTGCAAGAGTTGGACGCGTCTGCTGCAGCATTTGAGTGTGACCATTTTGTGTTCGCAGGAAGGTACAGCGGAAAAATATGGCACGTCGTCCAGAGTATGCTGCTCCCCCAGAGATATTCTACAACGAGCAAGAGGCGGCCAAGTACACGAGCAATTCTCGTATCATGGAGATCCAGTCGGCGATGTCAGAGCGCGCGATCGAGCTGCTGGCCCTGCCCGAAGACGAGTGTCATTTCATCCTCGACCTGGGCTGCGGCAGCGGACTCAGCGGCGACGTCCTCGAGGAACAGGGACATGTCTGGGTCGGCGTGGACATCAGCCAGGCCATGCTGAACGTGGCACTGGAGCGCGAAGCTTCGGGTGACATGTTGCTAGGAGACCTGGGTCACGGCGTTTGTTTTCGAGCCGGTGCCTTCGACGGCGCAATCAGCATTTCGGCGCTACAGTGGCTCTGCAATGCCGATAAGAAATCTCACAATCCAGTGCAGCGCTTGCACAAGTTTTTCTCGTCCCTGTACGCCTGCCTGTGTCGGGGAAAGCGCGCCGTGTTTCAGTTCTACCCGGAGAACAGCGATCAGATCGAGTTGGTCACCCAGCAGGCGATGAAAGCGGGCTTCACGGGTGGTTTGGTGGTGGACTACCCCAACAGCAGCAAGGCCAAGAAGATGTTTCTTGTGCTGTTTACGGGGGGTCCCCAGAAGTTACCCACGGCCCTCGGCGCAGCTGCCGAAGCCGCGCGCAGCCAGATCGAGTGCACGGCGGCTGCTAGACGGGACAAGCTGGGCAAGCTGCGGGGCAAGGGCCCCAAACACGGGGCCGCCTGGATCCAGGAAAAAAAAGAGCGTAGGAGGCGCCAGGGCAAGGAGACCAAGCCAGACTCCAAGTACACTGGCCGGAGGCGGTGTGGAAAGTTTTAGATAGGTATGCCCCTCGCTTATGTCGAGCCTTTTGTTCTGACGACCAGTGCTAATGCCCTTTTCGTCTATGTCTGCTCCCAGGAACGTGTCTAACTCAGTTCCTCCAAAACACCTTTGCAAAAGAACTTGGGCAAGGACTGTGCAGGCATTGACAACTGCAGCATCAAGTATGTTGGTCGTGCAGAAGCCTGATCCATGCATAAGGTAATTTCGTTTGTTGTGAATACAAAGTGCGCAAATGTACACAATACAATCTGTTTAAGCGTCCATGGTTCTCTGTTCATGAGACTTACAAGCAGCATCTAAGGCTGGCTTCACACGGTGCAACTTTTCCAGATGTCTTGATGTTGCAACAGCTGCAACTCCGGTTTCCCACGTTAGCGTGCAACAACCCTTGAAACACCTAGGGTATGTGCTGCGTGTTGTCATCTGTCATTAGAGATGCAATTCTCTTATACTAGGGGTCGGCAACCTTTTGTAGCGCGGGGGCCATGGAGAATAGAAGGGTAGGAGAGGGCATGACGTCAGCCGCGTAGCCTCCCCAAGCCATGCTCCCTTGACGCCTCGCCTCTTTCTCATTTTCCTCCTTACTCTCCTCACTTATCGCCCAGCACGTGACTGTCGCGTGGTTCATGGTTGCGGGTAGCGTGGTGCTGGTGGTTTTTATTTACTGTCACCACAGCTGGAAACTGTTGCCCGCGCCCTGCCGACCGATTCTACGCCTGCTCCGCTTCGTAATGTACCCTCAACTATAAAGTAAATGCATTCTATTTTCTACAGATCATTCCGATACTGAAAACGATACTATTCAACGTGGAACGTCAACGCTGTAACGATCGCCTGTTGGCGTGTTTTGAGTAACGTACGGTGCGTCTGCGTGCATCAGCGAGGAGTATTCTTTGCGTATATACACCTGAGTTTGGACCAATACTTACCCATTTTTACGGCGATGATTTTCGCGCCCGTCTGCAAATGATAGCTGCGTTCTCATCGCTTCTTTTCGTTGCGACCGCTATGCAGGTCGTCCACTGGGATGTTTTATTGCTGTCGTAAAAAATTGAACCAGTTCAACTTGACTCGAGGTTGGGGGATGTTTTGTTGACTACTTATTGCAAACAAAATTGAAATTATGTATGACACTATATATGAACCTACAGCACACAAGCAAACTATAGCATATAGTTCACGCTGTGAAAATATGTACAATCTCGGCAGTTTAACTCTTGCTGCATTCTCTTCACCGTGATGTTGATCGACACAAGCATGCTTTAGACTGAGATATAATGTCACCCCAAATTTTCTCTGCCTTGTTTTTGTAACTGCTTGCTCCTGGCTCATAATCCTTGTTCAAACCTAAGTATGTGCACTCACTGGCCTTGGAACTGTGTCAACTTTGTACGTCTTTGTCGGCCCTTCTGCAAGTGGAGGCTTTGCGTAGAAGTTCGGCTTATGCTGTGCAGCCTGATGTCAGGGTACTTCTGAGCGGTGCATCGCATAAGATGAAATGCGTGGCTTTCCATTGGGTCGTTGTCAAGCATGTGTTCATTGAGGGTGCTGAACATGTCCTTTCCGATGAATGATTTGAGAACATTGCTAAGTAGCTTTGCCAAGAAATTCTTTGACGATGTAGACGAGTGTGCCAGGGTAGATCGGAGAGCTTTTTCACTTTCTCGACAAATCCTCACAACGTCTCCAGATGGGTAGAGCAGCCCTCCCAAGGTTTTATGTCGTATAAGTGAGTAGATCGGATCTGTGGGAGCTGTGGTCGTGAGTGCATCAATGCAGTCTGCACAGTGCAACCTTTTTTGGAGGTGACGAGCCACGAACCCAGCAATATAAGCAATAATCCTTTCAGATAATTCTGACACAAATCTTGGATCTGGCAAGTAATCGTGATCGAGAGTAATATCGTCATCTCTATCCATGCTGGTGCCTTCCGATTCCTCCACAAGGCTTCTTCGAGCGCTGGACCAGTTGATTATATCTAGGGAGTCTTGCTCCACTAAGCTGCTGACATGAAGGATTTGAATGTGCTCAAGTGGCAGGCAGTTTCCAGATGCGACATCTCGCACTTCATTTACCACAATCAACCTCTTGAAGGCTGCAGCAAACTGTCTCGCAGTTGGTTTGTCATTGCATCCCCCATGTGATCTGATGGCCCCGAAGAAAAGTTCGAGGTGGTCTTGGCTAACTTTTATGGTCGGGAGGTACTTCAGTAGTGACTTTTCCCCAACTAGGTGTTTGTAAAGCTTGAGGACGCTGTTGATGCAGGTGAGAAATCCAATGAAGCCCACTTTCCGTTTGCTGCTGGTCATGAGCCTTCCGGTGCTCAATTCCTTTAGAGAAGAGAAATACTTTGTTGCATCGTTTAGGATAAGACGAATATCCCGGATGTTCTCTTGACGGTTTTTTCCATAGCCTTTGGTTTAAGTGTCTGGAGTTCAGAATGTCAAAAACGTCATTGACCATCCTCAGAAAACGCACTGTTGGCTGTGCTCCATAGAATCCCGGAACCCTTAGATTTCGGCACTCTTCTATCGCACTCGCAACTGATCTGCTGAAGACTTGCGCTGCAAGCGAAACCTTCATTGGTTGGCTTTTCCAGTGGACATGCGATTCCTTCAGTTTGTTCGCCAGATGTAGGCCTTCTTTTTTCTGCACCTCATGGAGGTCCTCGATGAGTCTCCATTGGATGGTGCCCCCATCTCCATCTACAAAAGATTTTTTGTCACAAAGACAGTTTCGCAACAATTTTAACATGTGACAGGGATCAAGGAAAACAAAGACGGGCTCTTGAGTTTCCGGGTGGGGAATGACCGTTTCGAGATTTTCGGTGTCAAAGCTGCAGCCCAGATTGCGCAGCATTGTGATGTTTGCGGCTTCCCCGTCGCATGTAAGTGACACGGCTTTGGCGTTGCACTCGTGAACTAACCTGAGGGCTGTCTTCACCAAGTTAGCACGTTGCTCTCCCCCTAGGCCATCTACAAGGAAGTAGCCAAGGGGAAGTTTCCAGTGGCCGTTAATGCCAACAGCCATTACAACAAACGCATCTTTAGCAACTGGCAATGCATCATCATGAACCTGCCCGCCCATGTCAACATGGCCATGAAACTTCCGCCCATCCCATTCGGTGTGGCGTCTCACCGCCATCTCGTCCACGAGCAGACTACACAATGTCGGGTACCCGGTTGTTGCATTCTGGGTTACTTTCATCTTCAGAGCAGCAAGCGCTTCTTTAGAAAACCCCGCAGATCCATCGACGGTCTGGTACCACTTGGTCAAGGTCCTTGGGTGTGGTAGGCATGTGTCGAAGACTTCTCTTACATAGTTATAGGCCCTGGGCGAGTAAAAATGCAACGTTAGAGCAAACGCCCGCAATTCTGGTGAATATGTGACCGGCTGAGGTGCGCCAGTCCTCTTTGCAACTTGACGTCTAAGCAGGTCCTTGTTGGCTTTACCGAGGCTCTCAAGTATCGAAACATTCTCATCAGTCATGATGCGATTCTTCGTAAGATCATCAGTGACATCCTGCATCTCGGCTAGCTTCTTCTTGAGGCGTCGCTGAGACTGCCGAAGTGTTTTGATTCTTTTCTTGCTGACTGTCTGGAGGTTGCAGTAGCGTGTAACCTCCTTTCGCAAGAAGGCCTTCTCGGGAGTGTCGTCGGCAGGCTGAGCCTATAAGAATGCAGGTTTTCATCACAAATTCATTGTCAACATTCTAAATTTGTGTCACAGTTGGGTACTTCTCACTCCCCTAGCATATATATAGCCTTTCGTGACCATTGTAGATCCGGACTGGTGACAAAGGCAAGCAGATTAGAGGGCGACTCCACTCATGTTTTTTTTTATAATTATATAAGCTATAAGACGGCGACCCTGAATCATGCAATATCATTTGTTTTTCGGCAGTGTGTGTTGTTTTGTAGTAACTGGCTTGAAGGTTTCATTGGCAACATTACTGCTGCGTCAGTTTCGTGCCACCGCAGGGTCTGGACCAGTCTGGACTACTTATTAGTGTGCCGAGTGCCACCATTTTCCACTTTTGCCGAGGAAACGAGTTGCAATGATGCTCATAGCTAGCACTCGTACTAACAACGAAGTGCAGCACGTGTTTGCCTTTCTGCATTGTGCCTTTGGTAAGCAGCATTTGTCATCAATCTAGTTTTTTTCACTTTGCAGCAGTCCATCTATTGATTATCATGAGCCCAAATAGAGTGCTCATGCAAAGCTCGGGCCCAATCTATTAGCCGCAATCGCTGGGCGGTACTGCGACCACCCAGCTACGTCATCAAGTCTTGCAAAGGAGAAATTGAACAAACACGCTCGCTTTTGTCCTTGAAAATGTACCGCAACAAAGGAGTTTCTTGGCGTTAAGGCGGGGGGAACACAAAGCTTATGGGAAGAAGGCCTACAGGGAACACAAAGTTGACGTCACTTTTCCTGCTGTTGCCTGACAAAAGGTGATCCCCTAAGTTCGTTAAAAAAGGTTACCTCGACGTGTGGAATTGGGTGCCATTGTATTTTGTCGCACTAAACTTATGTCCATCATTTCTTTTCATTAGACCTTTGAGCGGAGTTGCCCTTTAAGGTATGTCTGCCTTCGCCCGTGTTCAGGCGCTACACATAATTACTGGCTACCTTAATTCTGTGCCCAGAGTGTGGTCATCCTCATCGGTCAGAACTTAACAGGCTCCCTTGAAGAGAAGTTTAAAAGTCACGTAGCTGCGATGTCTATGCAGCCAGTCATCTAGGGATGGAAACCGTAGATGTTTGTTGTGTTTTCTGTAGACGTGTCCCAATTCAGAATAAAAGTCTTGTAGATGCTTAGTAGTATTTACCAGCAACATATACGGAACATGCTTGTTGTCTTTGTTGAGGTGGATTTTCTTTTACTGTATCAGTATTTTTCTTTTGAAATGCAACTTGGAAGATTTTCATCCAAGTTGCTGTGATAACCCACCCAAATTTTGTCAAACAGAAACGAAATATGATTGCAGGGCCCCTTTAACTGAAAGGCGAAATGAGAAATCACGCGGTCGTGAGTTGCTTGGACACCGGTACGATGACTCCAGGCTTCCACTTCTTAAGCACATTATGGAACTTATCATTCGCAAGCGATGATAAGTACCGTCGCGGCACTCGTTGACCACGAACGCGAATTCAAATAATAGTCGGCTGATTGATTAATGACGAGCGCATACGTCCGGGTGACGCAGTGCCCGTGTCCAACGGTCCAACGCGGTAGAGTAACTGTATATGCTCCGCTT